GTCAAACAAGCCTCGTCCGTGTCTCTTTGGAATGTGGCGTGTGTAGCAACCACTTCTGTGTCAGTCGTAATCAAGCCATTTTAGAAAGGAAGTGGGTGTTTCCAGAAGTTGGTGAATTTGCCGGTGGGAAAAGACAGCTTTGCTTTTGTGGATGTTGGAGAAAATGGTTTCCAGATGTGTGTGGACCAGCGTGTTACTGGAGGATGTTTTTCTGCTGTGTATCACTATAGTTTTGCTTTTCACCCTGTTTTGTGCTTCTTGTTCAGTATTCGTGAATTCAAATAAATTTATTTTTTTAATGTCAACTTTGTGTGCCTTCTTTTGCCATAGGAGAACTGGGGTGCAGGCCCTAGGTGCTGGGTGGGGGGTTGAGCGGACTCCCCAAGAGCCAGAGTGGGGAGCAGGACAGGCGGATCCACTGAAACTCACTGCTGCACCCCTGGGGGTCATCGTGGCTGCTGATGGCTCAAGAGCACTGAGACTTAACCCCTGCGCCGCCAGGGAGACCCCAACCCTGGCGTGGGCGGGGTTGAGGGTAGCAGAGCTTCCCACACCCCGCCTGCCCCTGGTGAGGGACGACACACGTGGGCACAGTCAAAGCCGCGACCCTGCGTGATGCTTGCTATGCCTCTTCCGCAAACCAGCACCTGTGATTTCCATGTGTGGCGCGATGTCTCCTGCACCCTGAGCCCCTTGAAGACCCATCCCGGGTGCTTGGTCACCAAGGACTCGTGTTGCGTGGTCACCGGGAGCCGTGACACCTTACTGGTGCTGTCTTGAGAACAAAGCTTAATCTTTCCAAATTTCTGTTCCTCTTCTAGGACACTGAGGGGGGTAAGGGTTGGGGGGGGTGATTCGAGTTAGGCAAATAACATCAGCTGGGCCTCCCTGGGGGCGCAGGGGTTAAGTCTCAGCGCTATCAAGCCATCACCAGCCACTGCAGCACTAGTATGATCCCTGGCCCCAGCCCGAGGTGACCCCCAGGGCGCAGCAGACCCCCTCCTGTCTCCCCGCTGCTCCCCTCAGCAGTGGGCTTCAGTGGATCCGCCTGTTCTGCTCCCCACTCTGTCTCTGGGGAGTCCTCTCATCCCCACCCCTTGCTGTACCCTGGTTCTTGCATGCAAAAATAAATTTAAAAACTCTTAAAAAAAATAACTGGAAGCATCCACTGGGCCCCCAACAAGCAAGCAGCGGCCTGACCAGGGCCTTGCAGCCAAGGGCCCTGGAGAGAGCTGGCTGGTAGCAGGGGAGGGTGTGGGCGGAGGCCTTGGGTTTGACCCGATGGGTGGCCGCTGCCAGGAGTCATTCGCAGGCCAGGGATTAGCCACTTCCGGGTCCTGTGGTGCAGCCTGGCGCCAGATGAGAGGCCGGGCAGCGGGGCACCCTGCGGGCAGGAAGACGGGGTTCCAGTATTTATTGCAACATCTACCGCCCAGGAGCTGAAACATCAGCGAGGAGGACCTCCCGCCACTCGGGCCCTTTCACCCCACACCGTGAGCCCCCCACCCCTGCAGCCTGCAGCCCTCACACCCTTCCACCTTCTCTCAAGGACAGCCTCAAGTGTAGGGCAGTCGGGGGACTGGCTTCTTAGCTCTGCCAGCAGCCTCCGTGGGGAGCCCTTTCTACTCCGGGGGGGAGCAGCACTCTCTCTGCTCAGAGCCACAGCCCCAGACTTCACTGCCACGTCCCTGGATTGCCATGAGCGTGTGTGTGTGCAAAGGTGCATTCCCCACAGGCACAGACATTTCCCTTCACTGTGTGGATGGCTCATGGGTGGCTCACGCGTGGCTCGTGTGTGGCTCCTGCGTGGCTCACACATGACTCTGGCTTGTGTGTGGCCCATGCATGTCTCGTGTGGCTCGTGCACGGCTCGTGTGTGGCTCGTGTGTGGCCCGTGTGTGGCTTACGAGTGGCTTGTGTGTGGCCCATGCATGTCTCGTGTGGCTCGTGCATGGCTCGTGTGTGGCTCATGTGTGGCCCGTGCATGGCTCAAGCTTGGCTCGTGTGTGGCTCATGCATGGCTCATATGTGGCTCATGCCTGGCTCGTGTGTGGCTCATGCCTGGCTCATGCGTGGCTCATGCGTGGCTCGTGTGTCCACGGGGGTGTCAAGCGTGTAGAGATGCACGGATGAGCGTGTGCACAGGAGCCCACTTCCAAGCCAGACCAAGGGCCGGCCAGGGAGGTGTGGACTCGGCCTCACTGTCTGCATGACACGCGAGGGAAGGACACGCTTTTCACTGAGGCCTCCTGGGACCCATGGGCTCCGAGGCCCGGAAGTCCCCGGCCTGTGCCAAAACCCGTTGGTACAAGAGGCCTGGACATGGCACCAGCACCAGGCTGGGCGACTCAGGCAGCGGGAAACAGTCCTCAGCTGGGGTACGCGTCCCTGTTTCCGGGACCCAGGTGCCCTCAACACGGGTGCTCTTTGCTCCCTCGAAACGTGTCCCAGAGCTACACATTTGCACCCCCAGCGTAGCTGGCGAGGGGTGCTATCTGTACCCCACCCCAGGCCCAAACAAGGCTGCTGAGGCCCTGTGGGTCCCCACCCCGACCTGTTCCCAGGCAGCCTCAGAGCTCCGGAGGGCTGGTCAGCAACGAGTTGAGGG